ATAAAGAGATATAGATCTTATTTCAGAATATGAAAAAAGTATTCAATTCAGTAAGCTTAATTATGATAGAAAAAGTACTGAAAAGAATCAAAATTCCTAACTCAACAACAAAATTTTTTTTAAACCTATATAATAAGAGAAAGATTAAAGTTATCACAGAATTTGGTCTAACAAAAGAATTTGAAGTAGAAGATAGATTAGATTAAAGAGAAGTTGTCTTATCTTTTATATAGTGAATATTCTATGACCTGCTAGCATGTTTAATCAGTAAAGAAGAGAACATAGATTATAGAATGGAGCTCAGTTGGCTTTGTGACTTAAAAACAAACAAAGTACAGATATCAAGCTAGCAACAAGAAGTATTAGTATATGTAAATAATACAACTTAGCTTGCAAGTTTAAAAGAAGAAATACAGAAAATAGTCAATATCTCTGCAGAATTCTATGAGCTAAATAATATTGAGTTAAATAGTAAGAAATTAAAACTCCTTGTATTAAACTCAAAGTATATAGATAAAGAAAAAGATATATATCTTGAGATAGTAATAGGAAATTCTAAAGAGCCTGTACAAGCTAAATGAGAAAAAAAAGTTATAAGATATCTTAAAGTCTAGATATCAGAAAAAGGTGAAAGAAATACAATAAAGCTATTATCATAAAAGAAGTCACAAGGATATATAAAGCAATCATATAGAAGAAAGTATCTGTAAGCCAATTAGTATATCTAAATAATAGTATACTTATGTTTAGTATTGAATATAGACTTCAGATATTATTTCTATTTAAATCCTTATATAAGCGAATACAAAGACTCATTTAAACATTAATCAAAAACAAAATAGGATTAGCAAAGTTTGCATCAAATAGTATGTGTAGCTATATAAAGATTCTAGAATTATAAACAATCTAGCAAAATCAGCCTACACATCATATTACAAAGCTAACTATATATCTAAATAAGTAAAATAAAATAGGACTCACTATAAAACTAAAAATAAAAGAAGCATAACTTAGATGTATAAGCACAGATAATATCTTTAGTAATTCTAATAAACTAGATTATACAGGACTTAAGTTTAATCTAGTATATAAGATAATATACGAAGAGAAAAAACTAGACTTTAGCTTCTAATAAAATAGCTTTTATAAAAAAAATCTAGAAATTTCAAATACAAGTATCTTAAGTCTACTAAATGAAAAGAAGGCTAACAGATATAAAGAAAGTAAGAATATAAGTATTTTTATACTTGAATAGCTTATAATGAGTAGTAGTAATAGACTTCTAATATAGCAACAAGTAAGATATATTAGAGACTACAAAGGAAGAAATTGTAAGCTATACTAGTTCAAATATATAGAAAAAAAAGTTATAGATTGCATTTTATTAAGGTTACTAAAGAAAGAATATCATATAGCAAAACCAAACCAAAATATAATAAGGTGTAATAGGCTTATAATATTTACAGATAAAAGAAAAAAAGAGTAGATTATTTTTGAAAAAGATAAAGGCTTCCAAATTAGCAAAGTTATAAAAAAGAAAAGCAAATATTTTTTAACTGAATACTAGTAAATTGAAGCAAACAAAAGCTTAGAAGAGATACTAGCTAGAAAGTATAAAGATTGTATATATAAAAAACAAAATAATATAAGCTATATCATAAGGCAAAAGTTAACGATATAGCACCAAGTCTTGAAAAGAGTATTATATAGAGGAAATATAATATTAACTGAAATATCTATATCAGTTTATATAGAATACAAGAAGCTCTTATATAAAAAAGAAGAAGAACAAAAAAAAGAAGTAAAAATAAAAGTAGTCAGTATAGAAAAAGCAGTAATTCAAAAAGTAATTAGTAATAAAAAGATACAAAGTAAATTAGTAGATATCACAAAAAGATTAAAAGAAAAAAAGAAACTAGATATTTATACAGATAAGTCATTAGTAGTAGAACATGAAGGAAATAGAGAAGAAAAAAAGATAGGTATAGAATAAATTATAGCTAGCAATGATAGTAACAAAGATAGTATTAGTTTTAAAAGTAGAATAGCTAACTGATTCTTCTTAACTTGAGCAGAACTAGGTGCAATATAAACAGTAGTGTTAGCAACTCCTGCTAATATAAAAGTAAGAATATACTTTAATAGTAATGCAGTAATAGAGAGAATTTAAGGATTTAAGAGCTAACTAAACATAAGAAACATATTCAAAACCAAGAATTGCAGTCTGATTAACTAAATATTAGACTACTACAAAACTAAAAACATTAATTTGAAGCTAATTAAAGTCAAAGATATAGTAAAATTATTAGAATGACAAAGCTGATAAGTTGACAAAAGAAGGTCTATTATCTAACCTAGTACTAGAAGTGCAAAATATAACAGCAAGTAGAATAAGAGTAGTATCAACTTGGAAGAGCAAGTTAATAGATAGTCTTCTTAGATCTTTTATTAATATAATCATATCAATATTATATAAATATGAATAAACAGATCTGAGTAAATTTAGTATAAAATATTTATAGTTTTTTACTTTGTAGCTTATTTAAGCTTTTCTTTAATAAATGATAGGCAAGATCACCTAAGTATAAAAAAAAAAAAATAAACAGATCTGAGTAATATTAAGCTAATACTAGATCAAAGACTGAGTTTGCAAAGCAATGAAGATCTAAACTAGAGAAATACATAGAGCTTGCTAAAGAAGTTTTAAAAAAAAAAAAGTACTAGTATTCAAAAAAGCAAAGCTCTAATCTTTAAGATAAAATGTCTTAACAAATTGTTACCAACTAAAGATATTTGTTTCTAATAAAATCCTAATCTATATAAAAGTAAAACTTGTATAGCATACTTTGTAAAAAAAGAATCTCTAGAACATATTGCAGAATATTAGATCTATCAACTAATTTGAAAGAAGATTAAAAGATTTATTATAGAAGAGCTTAGTCTAAAGCTTGATGATAAATAGAAAATATCTATTTTTGATCAAACTCTAAAAGAAATATTTATAGGACATGATACAGCTAAAATATATAGCAGAAAGAAATTATATATCTAAGACTTAACTAGTATTATCTTATGACAGAAGTCAAAGATATTCTAGAATCTAGTTTCAAAACTAACAAAGCAATAACTTAGTTTTCAGAGCTATTCTGGTCTAATTATTTTGAGAAGTTGTAAAAATTTCATTACAAGGTTATACTAGAGTAGGAAGAAAAAAATAACATTAAGTTTAAAGAAAAAAAAAAAAAAACAAAGCAAAAACTTAACAAACTAAAGAAAAAAAACATACTGAATAAAGAAAACTAGAATCTAAACATGATCAACTATAAAGAAACAAGCAAAAACAATGAGAAAAGAATTTAAAATCTAGCTGAAGCTAAGGTTTAAATGTGAATTGAGAAAAGAATAAAAGAAAGCTGATTAAGTTTTAAAAATAACTAAAAAATCTTGAAATAAGTATAAAAAAACCTTCTACAGATCACTAAAATATAAATTGCTTAGACAAACTGCTTTGATAAGAAGAAAATTTACTTTTGTAACTGATCGTACTTGGATATCTAGAGTAGCTAAGTAAGTTTAGAATTATAAAAAGAAGGTAGTTATGTAGTTAGTTTAAATTAGTTTATATTTTTGTTTTAACATTGTAATATTTTCTTTTAATAAATGAAAAGCAAGATTGTCTAAGTTAAAAAAAAAAAAAAAACAAAAGATTACCTATATATAACCTTGTAATCAAATTAATAAAATACTTCTAGCAAGGTAAACCATTCTTAAAAAAAAAAAAAATAATAATACAAATCTATTCTGATTTTAGAATCCAATAATTAGATTTTTATGATTTTAAACTTATTAGAAATATCTTATTAAGAGTAGTGACTTGAACTGGTTGAGCTATAATCGGTTAACCAACCCGAATTGAATAAATTTCGGGTAACCGGTTGAGTAAATTCTTAACCGGTTTACTCGTACAACCGGTTGAGTATCGGTAATAAGTTGACAGGATGTAAATGCCATCAAGAAGGAGCAAAGGGTCCGAGAACTTCCGAAAAGAAAATGAATAAACATAAAAATTTGAGTAAAGGTCCGAGAACTTCCGAAGGTAAAATGTGAAGTAATCTTAATCGGTTGTAATCGGTTGACATTAAATATTTCGGTTCGGTTATCCGACTAAGGAATTTTTTCTCGGTTCAAATCACTAATTTTAAGCCATGGTGATAGATAAAATCTCAGGTTTAAATATTAGACCAATTAGAAAGGCTAACTATCTGACACTTCCCTTACTTGTAGTATACATCTAAGGTTACTAATTATGCGAGTTAAGGATTTAAATCAGTTATAAATTTTTAGCCGATTAGTCCAAGACTCTAGCGTTACCAAATTAAAAAATTTCGGTAGGGTTAGCGTTAATGAATTTTTTGGTTTGATTTATGTTACACCTGATCATGAAATTTGATTCGGTCTGATAGTGAAATTTTTTAGGTTGGTAACGCTAGAGCGGTTCTTAATTACCGTCAACCTTTAATTATCGATAAAGTATGAATCTCTGGTTGTAAAAACTTGAATAATTTTATTAGGATTAAATTTTTTTTTTTTGGAAAAATATATTATACACTTTTTAGTAAACTAAGACCCTCGAATCCTAATCTCCGATTTAAATAGTGTTCTAATTAAGCCCTTATAAGAGTCTTTCCACTGTAATTAAATCAAAAACAAAAAAGTTTAATAAAAAATTTAACATTAAGATTAAAATAAAAAAAGGGGAACTAACGTGATCGTCTTTTTCTCTACAACCGGTGATTCAAGTTTAGCTCTATTTAATACTTTCAGGAATGCTTGAACACGTGCGCGCATTCTTGAATGCATATAAGCTTTGGAACATTTGATGTGATAATGAAGATAATCACGAAATAGCTGAATTTGAGAAATTGTTTTTTCTCGCACTTCACCTTTAACAAGATGACGGGGGAACAAGACTATATACATACATTTTTCTATTAATATCATTATATTTGAATTGGTAATGCAATCATTAAGGTTGTATAGAAAATATTACCAAAGGTGACATAACCAATATTTTCATCTTGTGATTTTTGTAATTCAGATAAATGTCTGATTTCTAACGGGGGATCTTTACTAGAATAAAGAACTTGAGGTGCTTTTTGAATTGCTGGCCGACGACGAGCATCAACAAATTCCTTATTAAATAGTTTAATTGAGAGAGTATCTACGTCAGGTGTAATTGATCTTGAATCATCATACAATATAGTATTTATTTGTATTTTCTAATTACCTGTAAAAATACTCTTCCAAATATTCTATCTGTCTCTTCCTTAAATAATGTAGAAAATATTACAGTAACTCTATCAAATTGAGCTTGAATATAAATAGTTTCTTGATCTCGATAATGAATTTGCATTAGAATAGGTGTGGGATTGGTTTGTTCTTCAGCTTCATATTGAGCTTGCAATTCAAAAGCTCGTTCGAAAGGTTGAGCCATAAGATTACGTTTAATTAACGATAACTTCTTTACAAGTGCTTCTCTTTCCTCTGAAAAAGAGAATCATTATAGATAAATATCTAAAATCCATTATAATATTTTATTTACAAGAAAAATTCTTGAATAAACAACCTTTATCCTCAGGCAATTTTTGTAAATCGAACTCTAGACTAAAATCGTACCCGCCTTCAGTATCTGGTTGAATATAATCACCATATTCTTTTTGTAACATTTCTTGTGCTCCCCATTGAACAAGGTCTTCGAAACACCGCATTTGCATTGAAAGTTTGATTACATTTTTTGATTGTGGTGTCGAAATATGATAAGATACACCGTCAAAGTCGACAACTGTCATATCCAAAGTAGTGGGCTCAAGACTACCCGGTAAAAAACGTTAACTTTTTATTGAGTATCTAATCTTAATATATTTTTAAGACTTACCCCACAATGGGTTGCTTTAATGTTTCTTCGATGACAGCATTATGATAATCTAATAAAATCATTTCGACTTTTATTGTAAAAATTTAAGTTACGAAATGGTTATTATACCATTTTTTGGGCATATGACTTGTAACAAGTTACATTCGTTTTTGATTGGTAATTTAGTTTGTCCAGGTTTTATATACGATCTCGATAATTTTAAAAAATATTACGACTGTTAAACGGCCAAATAACTGGCATAATTTTTATATTTTGATAAGCTGAATATAAATCAAGCAATTGATCAAGTTTTTGTTGAATTATTGTTTAAAGTTTCGGAAAAATTCAGACTCACCCCCATATATTGAAAACATACATAACACATAAGATAACAGAATTAGGAATGCTATTTTAGACTAATTGGACCAGTTAAATTATAATGACCAAAACTAAACCAAACTAGACTGTTTAAAAACATCCCTACAAAGAATGAAAATGGCTAAAATCGGTTTCGTTTAGTAGCTTGTTCACATAATATAACTGGGTCACAAGTATAACTGGATCACGAGATTAGATTCGTTATATTATTCCCTTTTCTTTGAGGGTAAACCTCAAAAAAAAAAAAATTATTATTTGTTAATATCAAATTTAAAATTGGTTTAATAGCTGGATAAAAACTAGTGAGCTCAAAATATAAATTTATGCATTTTGTTTGAAATTTAAATATTTCCTTTAAAATTAGTATATATTTCAGAATTTTTAAAGAGTGTAAAATCATAAATTTTGTAAAGTGTGTGAAGTGTCAACAACCATAACGGTTTCTTCATGATCATTTAATATATTTAATGGACTAATTTGTTTTTGTGATGAAATATAAATAACGCAGCTAGTACCACAGAAATTTGTACCTATAATAAATTAAACAAGTGTAAATATATATTGTAAAGTATAATAAAAACCTCTGATAATCTTGAATAGCAAATAAACAAATAAATTACCTTTCTCTGTTCCAGTCCGATTAGCTACAACAAATAAAACTTTACGATTTCCATTTGCACCTAAATTTTGCCTATCTGTTTGAGATTCTTCGTCATTTCCATACACGTCGTAATATAATGGTAGTAATCGGCGACACCAATAATTTATTTGATTATTACTCACACTCGACAACCATGCCATTGAACATAGTATAATATCAGTTTGTTGCTGAAGATGAAAACGCGCGAATTCAAAGGCCATAAAGTCAGCCTCAAATCTATAAGGATTAAGATCCATGCAAATACCGAAACCGACCTGATTTTGAATAAGAATATATTTGAATTAATCATTGGAACAACTAAGAAAAATCAATATTTTTATTTGTGCTAAAATACCTTTCCCAAACCAGGCACATATATAGATTTGAAACCAGGGCCTTCATCAGCCCAATTTTCATCAGTCGTATATAAATGAGTCTTTTGATAAGTTTCAATAAGATCACTGTTTCGACCAATGAAGCATACACTATTATAATATTTGTCTGGATTACCTATTTATATAAAACTTGTAATTTTAAGACAATAAATGAGGTTATTTTGTAAACAAGTTAATTCATAATTTACCCTTAATAATCTGAGGATATCCAACCATAACAAACGCATGTAATCTAAGAGCTGTATTTTTAAAATTATCAACAAATACTGACAGTTAAAAATTTATTATAATAGTTATAAACCAACCTTGCGCTTTGGCCCACTGAACAGTAGTCCCAGTCTCTGCATCTTCGAGATATGGCATAATACTCTCCTTATTTTCAAAGACATAACCTAAAAACATACCCTATTTGTGTTGATTACTTATAATACTACAAAGCAAAATAAATCAAAAAAGTCATGTATTGACATTGATTTGATTCTTACCAGTGAAGGCCATCTCGGGCAGAACTAAAATATCAATTTCACCGGGCTGATATCTTTACGGAGTAAATAATAATAACGATTCAATTGATTACAATTAATTATCAATTGGTATATGAATGTTGCCAAGTAAAAACCTGTAAGATTTAAATTTTTTTTATCTCATCGTGATTCAATTAAAAATTTTCGTAAATTAAGTCGGATACATTAAAATTTAAATCTTAATAGGTTTTTTACTAGTAGCACTCATAATGCAGAAAAGAAATAATGATAGAACTAAATATGATTCAAAAACCTTTCAAGCATTTCAGATGCTCGTCTTTGATTCGCTTGAACTTCACCAATGATTGGATTAAACTGAAGACAAGCTAATGATTTGAAAAACCTCGATTAATGAAAGTAAAAATTAGGTCAAGTTGTCTATAATCTTATATTACCAATTTTCATATTTCTTAGATTGACAAAATTGTGTGGAACTAGATAGAATTTTATAAATAAAATTTATCGGAGAAACGGGAAAATGGGTATTTTAGAAATTTAGAAATCTAGATATGACATCAGTATTAGCACACTTTCATTGACAAATAATAAATTTATCGAAGAAAAAAATTAACCAACAATGATGCATAAAAGTTTCCAAGGAATGGAATAATGTCGTCCTGGAACAAAAAGGTATACGTATTTATATTCTGTAACTGTATAAGTTACTGTATATGGGCTAAGTGCTGCAAAAAGGGAGCAAATCAAATCATAACTTAATTAAGAACATTTTTATTAATAACGATAAGAATAAAAGAATAAGTAACATAAATTAACAAATTACATATTATTGAATTAAAAGAATACAATTTTAAGCTTTAAACTTTATGTACCAGAGCAATTAATTTATTTTATTTTTAAACTTTGTATGTTAAACTACTTTTGAACTTTAATTATCAGAGCGAATAATTTACTTTTAATTCAGCAAAACATAACATATAATTAATTTAATAACTTATTAATTAGCTAATTCTCGTCTTTATCAACATTATGTTTTTAAACTTTATTATCACTATATATAATTGGAGAAATTCATGATATTTCCGGATTTCCAGAGTTTTCAAGGCCCACTTCGAATCTTTAACTTCTCCTAATATGACAGATTCTTTGATTTCCCACATATAGTAGAAGAATTCCGAAATTTCCAAAATAAACTTAACAGTCGACTAAGTCGTTAATTAAAATCAATCAGGATTACTATTATTAGAACATGTAAAATACATAATATATTAGATATTTTATTTTCAAAATATTTTTCAGTTATAGAAATGTACCAAATACGCGACTTGCGCGAAATGTTTATATCTCCCAAGAGACAAATGGAATTTTGGCATATTACAGTATTAATAAAAATTCTAGTACAACAATAAATTAAAAATTAAATTTACTAATACAAATCCACGATTGCTATGATTTTTATTAAATTGATCTTGCGAATAAATAAAAAAAAAATGATGTAGTAATCTCATACGAAAGTGCACCTGTAGTAACATGAAGTTACTATCGGTGTTGATTTTAAATTTAGACGCGTAACTAATTTCTGCGACGTTGCTTTTATCGTTATCTTAAAAAATAATTTCTTTTGTTGGTACGATTAAAAAAATTTTTCACACATATTATTTATGTGAATCTAAAACGCAATTAGGAAAAAAAAAAAAATATTAATAAGTCGTTAAGATTAATTTTTAAAATACACGCATCAAATTTGTTAAAATATATCATTTTTTTCATACGGTTGACATCTCGCTCTAAAAAAAAATAAAAAATAAAAAAGTTAACTAGAAAAAATTAACAAGTTTTTATTAATTAGAAATCGATTAAAACAACTTATCTGTAATTAAATTTTAATATAACTTGACGCCGAGTAAAGCTTCTTTTAGTATGCCAAAAAGTGAAAAGGCAAAACCATCATAATTTCCTGTCTCAGAAATAAAAAATCATCATAGACAAGTTCTTCTCTATACCGTCATCGCATTATTATTATTATTTTTTTTTTTATTTGTTTGTTCGAGGTTCTCTCCGTTCGGAAGGTGAAAAGAGAAGAAAGAAAATCCCAAAAAGACAAAAACACCTCCCGTATTGCTCTTGTTGGTACGTCAAAAGAACAATAAGAGAAAAGACGGGCGACTTAGTACCGCGACCTGCGGAAAAAGCCTCTTTTATTAAGCCAAAAAGAGGGGAAAAGGCTGTGGGTCTGGCGTAACACCGTTACGTTGCCTAAGAGCAAACCAGACCCGGAAGAACAAAGTGTTCTGTTTGTTTACATTTCAGAAATCTATTGTTTATATAATCATAAGATTTGATATAATGTGAATCACACAAATAGCCAATCAGAAGACGTAAATTTTGTTTATTCCCATACTACGTAAGACAAAATAATTAATAATTATTAATAATTGGCAGAGTTATCGTTATTAATTAAAAACTAAATACTTAATAATATATGGCGCAGCCAAATGAAAAATTGTACATACGATATACGTATACAACTATAAAAATTACATCGTAGTAATTGTTGCATTTTTTTTTATTATATTATTATTACTTGATGTTATAAATAATATAATAAAAGGATGTGACAATTACTCATGAATAATTTTACTGTAATTTTTAACAGTTGTCAAAATTGTTAAATATTATTAACTTTATTAACTAATTATTAATTTTTTTATTATTAACTAAGAACTCGCTGGTCCTATCACTAAGTGTATGTATATCAATATCTCAAAATTTCGCCTATGAAATTGCCTTTGGAGCTCTAATAAAAAAAAATTATTTGCTAAATTTTGCATATATCTAATATCTAGATTAGAGATGTCACTCAAATAGCCGAAACTAGTTTGGGACTTGGCCGAAATAAAATCCCAAACTATAATGATACGTATAACATTACAGTAACGGTAATAGGAGTTTAATTAATGTTAATTTTTCATAACGAATAACTATTAAAATTAACAAGCGTTAATTTCTATTATTAAAAAGCATCAATTTTTTATATTTATTATTTGCAGTATTCATTTACATGTTTATATATATATATATTTTAATATTTGCAACATTACATGTTTTTATATACTACGCTAATTATATTATTGCTTTGTAGCTTCTAAAGCTTCTTTTACAATATCGTCTAATAATTCAAAAATTTTAAACCTTTTTTTAAAAAAACAACACAATTTATTTATTACCGTGTTAGCATAAACCGAGTTCGTTTTCTGCTAAGCTTAACAAAAAACGAATTTATAATAATAGTAATCAAAAAAAGAATTAGCATCCGAAAAATGTGTACCAGGTTGGTGCGCCATAGCTGAATAATATTAGATTTTTCCGAGATCCTTGTCGGAATGATTTTAAATATGTTTTTAATTATATTACATTAAATAAATATAATATTATCTAGTCTTCAAAAAAACATTTATATTCATAAATCCGAATCATTATGATAAAATTTGTAATTTTTTCTGTTTCAATAAAATTCTCAA